GTGCCTGCCCGGTAATGGGGCGGGGCTGGGGGCGGGCCGGTAACGGGGCGGGCCCGGGAAGTTGCCGCCATGTTGGCGGCGCCGTTGCGCTGCGCCCGCAGGTACCGGAGGGGCCGGGGGGGCGGGTCCGGCCCCGGGTGCGGTGCCTGCGCGCCCCGCCAGCCCCGCTGCGCCATCACCGCTTCCCCGCCACCCTCCGAGTCCGCCCCGCWCCCCTCCCGTATCCCCCACGCCATCGCTGCACCGCCTGCATCCCCTAAATTCTCYTGCAACGCCTTATACCCTTCCTGCATCTCCTCTAAATCCTCCCTGCACCTTCCTGAATCCCACCTAAAGCCTTTCCGCACCCGTAGATCTGTCCTGCGTTCCCCGACATCCTCCCACATCCTTCTCCACCGCCTGTATCCTCCCTAAGTCCTCCTCGTGCCCCTGCACCACCTACACCACTTTACATACTCTGTACGCCCGTTCTGCACGCATTTCCCACCTCCTCCATCCCAGCCCCACACCCCTGCACGCCAGCCCTGCATCCCTGCTATCCAAAGCCCCATCCCTGCATGCCAGCCCTGCATCCCTCCATCCCAGACCCACACCCCTGCACGCCAGCCCTGCATCCCTGCTATCCAAAGCCCCATCCCTGCATGCCAGCCCTGCATCCCTCCATCCCAGCCCCGCACCCCTGCATGCCAGCCCTGCATCCCTCCGTCCCAGACCCCCATCCCTGCATGTCAGCCCTGCATCCCTGCTGCCCAAATCCCCAGCTCTACATCCCTCCATCCCTGCATCTCTCCATCCCAGACCCCCATCCCTACATGCCAGCCCTGCATCCCCACAACCCAGCCCTGTGCCTGCCCAGCAGCTCAGGAGTCTCCCTGATCCCCTCCTGCCCCTCACTCCCCTCATCATGAACAACCTGTGCCCCTCCTGCCCACACCCACCCCACGGAGGGGATTTTCCTCTCTGAGGGAATATTCTCCCTGAGGACACGCAGGTCAAGTCCCACTGGTGCTGCTGCTGCACCCGCAGCTGTCGGGTGTGCCCCCAAAGTGTGTTGGAGTTGGGGGCAGTCCCGGGGAATGGCCTTCACCTCTCCATGGTGATGCCTAACTGGAGGAGAACAACCTCCTCTGAGATTCCAGAGAGTGGGAAGGGCTTATAAGGTCCTGGGGGGGATTGGGGTGGATGGAGCCCCAGCAGAGCCACCCCAGGCTGAGAGTGGTTCACTTGGCATGAGGAATGGATGGTGGGGGGCACGGCAGGACCTGGGGTTGTGATCCTCCTGCTCTGGGGYGTCTGGAGGCTGAGCTTTGCTGTGGTGGGCAGGGAACCCCTGAGCCTGTTTGGTGTCACAGGTGCACGTTTCTRACGGGGATCGCAGCCATGGCCACGGCGGGGACACCCGGCTCCCCTTGTCACACCAACCGCCTGATTAATGAGAAGTCCCCGTACCTCCTGCAGCATGCCCACAACCCTGTGGATTGGTAAGAGCAACAAGAGCCTTTCCCCTTCCTCCTCCTCCTCCTCCTCCTCTCCCTGTGCCCATGGGGCTGAGGGACTCTTGTCTTCCCCACCACAGGTACCCTTGGGGTCAGGAAGCCTTTGATAAAGCAAAGAGAGAAAACAAGCTGATATTCCTGTCAGGTAATTGGAAACAAGACGTATTTCATGTCCCCATGTGTTGTTCAGTGGATGATCAGATAAGTTGGGCTGCATCCTTGGTGTGTGAGTAACCATGGATGGTCACCAAGGAGGAGAGGGCCGTGTGCTGGAATAGCTCTCTCTGAAAATGGGCTGTGTCCAGGACCAGAGTCCTTGGCYAGATTTTAGGAGCAAGAGCTGGAGAACCCAGGAGATTTTTCTCCTGCATCTCTTCTCCAGGGAGGCAGCAGCTGTTGGCCATAGCAGGACTCCCCACCTCTGAGTATTCTCCCCATCACATGTTGTCCTGCTCCCTGCAAACATCATTTCTCACTCAYCTGAGCTTGTTTGCAGTTGGCTACTCCACCTGCCACTGGTGCCATGTCATGGAGGAGGAGTCSTTCAAGAGCAAGGAGATCGGCGAGATCATGAACAAGCACTTTGTGTGCATCAAAGTGGACCGTGAGGAGCGGCCAGATGTGGACAAAGTGTACATGACCTTCGTGCAGGTGAGGGAGGGCACAGGCAGGACACAGGAGGCTTTGAGTGGCCCTCTCAGGGTGTGGTTTGTTTTTATGTTTTTCTCACGAGAGGAACCCACCATGGGGTGGGTCACAAGGGTGGAGAGAAGCATATCTGTCCTCGAGTGAGGCTCTTGGATGTGCTGGAATGGCACAGGCAGGTGCCTCTTGCGTGACCTTGGTGCACCCCTGATTTGTCTTTCAGGCCACCAGTGGGGGAGGTGGCTGGCCCATGAGTGTGTGGCTGACTCCAGACCTCAAGCCCTTTGCTGGGGGGACGTATTTTCCTCCTGAGGATGGAATCCACCGTGCTGGCTTTCGGACTGTGCTGCTCCGGATCGCAGAGCAGGTGTGGGGCAGGGCTGGTGTAGTGGGGGGGCTGAACCAAGGGGGCACAGGGAAACTGGTCTGGGCTTGAAGAATGAGGAGGAGTAGCCCAGAGAACAAGCCAGAGCTTTGGCTGGATTTCAGCTGATCTGGGGAGGGTGATGGAGGACTGGAGGTGTAGTTTGGACTGGTGCAAGAAGAAGAAAGTTCTTCCCTGTTTTTCTGCTTTTCATTTTGCATCTTAGTGGAAGGAGAACAAGGATGCCCTGTTGGAGAGCAGCCAGAGGATTCTGGAAGCGTTGAGACACACATGTGAGATCCGTGTGCAGGGCCAGGAGTCACCCCCACCTGCCAAAGAGGTGATGGACACGTGCTTCCAGCAGCTCTCCAGATCCTATGATGAGGAGTACGGTGGCTTTTCCAAATCCCCCAAGTTCCCCACCCCAGGTCAGTCTGGTCTCTGCTGCTGACAGCTGCCATGGGGCAGGCAGCGCTGTGGGGGCAGAGCCCACCCCACAGCCTCCTGCTTTCTCTCTGTGTTCCAGTGAATTTGAATTTCCTGTTCACATACTGGGCCCTGCACCGAACAACTCCAGAAGGTGCCCGGGCACTGCAGATGGCTCTGCACACCCTCAAGATGATGGCCCATGGGGGCATCCATGACCACATCGGTCAGGTAGGAGCAAATCCTTGGGGGTAAACCCCTGGCATGCCCAGGAGGTGTGGGGTGGAGGTGTGGGGTGGAGGTGTGGGGTGGAGATGTGGGATGGAGACGTGTCCTCATGGTCTCTGCAGGGATTTCACCGCTACTCCACTGACCAGCACTGGCACGTCCCTCACTTTGAGAAGATGCTCTACGACCAGGGGCAGCTGGCAGCCATGTACTGCAGAGCCTTCCAGGTACAGCTCTGTGGGGCTCCCACTCTGCAGGCTGGTTTGGGGACCAGCTTCAAAGCCTGTTCCCCAAGATAGTGCCCATCCCCTGGGCATGGAGCAATCCRGTGCTCCCCTTCCTCTCCTGGTGTTCATCCAGAAGTGCTKCAYAAACCCGTGACKGTGTAGCCCCAGGGTTTTGAGCGTRATGGGGGAGGGASCAGCCTCTGGGCTGGTCTTTGCAAGTCAGCAAACAAATTCTGCTGCCTCTGACCTCCRTGTGACTCCAGCATTGCTCTCCACTGCGCTTTGTAGATAAGCAGCACTCATTGAGAGTAGATTTCTGTTGGAGATATTACCCTGAATTCATCCAACATTTAAAATCTCTGGACTTTGAAATGCTCCTTTGACAGCTCTTTAAATTGAAATCTCTGACCATATCTTGYTGTATTTCCTGCCTCACCCCTGCCCCTTGTAATGTTGATGTCCGCCCTGTGCCTCCCGCAGATCTCTGGTGATAAATTCTTTGCTGATGTTGTCCGAGACATTCTGCTCTATGTTTCACGGGACCTGAGTGACCAGGTAGGTTGTTTCTGAGCTGAGCCAAGGGTAGCCACTTGCCCTGCCCTGGGATGTGGCTAGGAGCTGTTTTTCCCTCCCTTCCCTCCCAGCTGAGCGCAGTGTGGAGCCCTGCTGAGGTTCATTAGCCAGACTGCCAGCCTAGCACTGATGGGGACATGGCTGAAACTGCTGTCCTGGAGCTGGGGGTGTCTCTCTGTTGCTCTTTGCCCAGGCAGGAGGTTTCTACAGTGCAGAAGATGCAGATTCCTACCCAACCAGCACATCTGGAGAGAAGCGAGAAGGAGCTTTCTGTGTGTGGACAGCCGAGGAGCTCCGGGCTCTCCTCCCTGACCCTGTGGAGGGGGCCACAGAGGGAACAACCTTGGGAGATGTCTTCATACATCACTATGGGGTGCAGGAGGCCGGCAACGTGGACCCCATGAAGGTGAGGGAGAGCAAAGAGTTGCCTGGAGCCAGGAGCATTGGTGTGGGATCCGCATTCCATGTGGAGGGATGGCAGAGCAGCCCCAAAACACTCGGAGTCTGACACCTCCCCAGCCCGTGGCTCTCACTGAACGTGTCTCCCTCTCCCTTCAGGACCCCCATCAGGAGCTGAAGGGCAAGAACGTGCTGATTGCCCGCTGCTCCCCRGAGCTGACAGCAGCACGGTTCGGGCTGGAGCCGGGCCGGCTGGGTGCCCTGCTGCAGGAATGCCAGCACAGGCTGTCCACAGCCCGGGCACAGCGGCCACGGCCACACCTGGACACCAAGATGCTGGCAGCGTGGAATGGTGAGAGGCAGCTCAGCCCTGGGGGAACGTGCCTTGGCTGGACCCCACCAGGGCCTGGTAGCAACGGGTCCTGCTGGCACTGCAGGGCTCCCACAGAGGCAGTGGGATCAGGGATCACACCTGCAAACCTTGGGAGCATCAGGATACTGTTGTGGCTCTATTTCCCTCTCCAGCTGCCAGCAGAGAGCAGCAAAACTCTTCCCCTGGCTAAGTCCAGCTCCTCTGGCTGGGCTGTGGGGAAGGGAACTGAGATGAGGACTCAGGACCCTGGCGGGCACAGAGCCCACCCCTACTGTAGCACGGGTGGGGGGATCACAGCTCTGTGTCCATCTGTATGGGGGTCCTGCAGCAGGGAATAACTGCAGGACCCAGGGCACTGTTCCCAGCAGCAAATCCCTGGGTATTTGGGTCTGGAGCTGGCATAGACTGAAAATTGGAGCAAATCCCTGCAAATTGGAATACTCTTGAGCCCCATATCTGCCTGTGAGTGATGGCTCAGCTCTTGCTGGCCTTGCAGCACTCTGCCTGTTTCTTTGGTGACAGCAAGTGACTCGTTAGTGATTTGCAGTGAGCAGAAGAGCTGAGCCCTGACCTGCTGGCATCAGGGAGGATGAGCTTCACRTTGAGCCTCCTTCAAAGGACTGACAGTAACTTCCTTGCCGGTTCTGTGTGCTCCCCTGACCTGTCCCCGTGTCTCTGGCTCCACAGGGCTGATGATCTCAGGCTTTGCCCAGGCTGGGGCTGCCCTGGCCGAGCAGGGGTAYGTGAGCAGGGCTGCACAGGCAGCTGCCTTCCTGAGGACACATCTTTTCGATCCCGACAGCGGGAGGCTGCTGCGGAGCTGCTACAGGGGCAAGGACAACTCAGTGGAGCAGAGGTGAGGATCAGGAGGCCACAGACTTGACTGGCCACCTGCAGGTGCTGCCCAGATCCTTTGCAGTCCTGTTCTCCAATCTTCCAGGCAGCAGGGAGGGAGGGAGGCTGCTTGTTTTGTACAGAGCTCTGGTGCAGTTTAGGAAGGATCAGTGTCCCCTAGCCAGTGAGGAGAAATTGGGGTCAAAACCTTTCCTGTTTCTGATCTTTCATGCTGGCAGGTGTCTTCCCCTGCCTCCCCTCCTGTAAAGAACCCAAGGGCTGAGTTGCGTGATGGCACAGCCACCRCTTTGCTTGGTGGCATCTCCTTGGGTAGCAGAGACAATGGGCAGGGCTTTSCTGGGTTGGGAGAACCATCCTTCTCAGTGTAGAGATTCTGATTGTCCTTCCCTGTCTGTCACCACAGCACTGTGCCCATCCAGGGSTTCCTGGAGGACTATGTCTTTGTCATCCAGGCACTCTTTGACCTCTATGAAGCCTCGCTGGAGCAGGGCTGGCTGGAGTGGGCCCTGCACCTCCAGCACATGCAAGACAAGCTCTTCTGGGACCCCAAAGGCTTTGCTTATTTCTCCACTGAGGGTGGYGATCCCTCCGTGCTCCTGCGCCTGAAGGATGGTGAGCTGGCCCCGCTTTCCATGGGTTGTGTGTGGGGTCTGGGACACTGGGCTGATGGTGACTGTTGGGGTTGTGGGGTGTGGGGTGGTGGACACTGGGCTGATGGCAGCTCTTGGGGTTGTGGTGTGTGGGGTCTGTGGCACTGGGCTGATGKCAGCTGCTGTCCCTTGCAGACCAGGATGGAGCAGAGCCCACCCCCAACTCTGTCACTGTCACAAACCTGCTCCGAGCAGCTTGTTACTCCGGTCACATGGACTGGGTGGAAAAAGCTGGGAAGATCTTGGCAGCCTTCTCAAAGAGGCTGCAGAAGATCCCGATAACGCTGCCAGAGATGGCCCGAGCCACTGCTCTCTTCCATCACACCCTCAAACAGGTAGGTGTGAGGAGCTTGGTGTCCCCTGCAGGACCTGCTGCACAGAGCGGGGCTGGCAGTGGTGTGGGTGCAGTCACAGCTGTTTTGTCTGTCCTGACACTCACCCTCCCCCTGGACAGATTGTCATCTGTGGGGACCCCCAAGGAGAAGACACCAAAGAGATGTTGCGCTGYGTCCGCTCTGTCTTCAGCCCAAACAAGGTAGAGGTTCCCCTGTGCCTGCCAGCCCTGCCCTGGCCTCTGCTGCCTGCACTGCTGCTGCTYCATCCTTTCTCCCAGTGCAGCTCTTGCATCCATCCTCCTCCTCTCTGCTGCCTCTTCTGGAAAGCATCCTGTCCTTTCCATGTCTGCACCCCTCTCCCTGCATAAAGCACGAGCAGCCAGGCCCAGGAGTGCCTGCAGCAGGGGTTGTTATTACTGCTGGCTGTTTACACTGCTCTCAGCCTGAGCCCAGTGCTTTCCCAAGGGAAAACCTTTCATTCCGCTGTGGATGTGTCATAATCCAGTCAGTGTCTGGGTCACCTGCTGCCTGGAGACATCCTTGCATCCTTGGAGGGGGTGAGGCAGCACCTCACTCCAGCTGTGTGTACCACCAGCCAGGAGAGGCTTTTCCCAGAGCTTTGTCCCCACACGGCAGCTGTTGCTGTGCCCTGGGGTTTGTGCCTGGCTCAGCTTGTCATCGAGATGTGTCACTCTGGGAATCCACAGAAGGGCTGGAGCTGGTGGGGAAGGGCAGTGCAGCAGCTGGTGCCTGTCAGGTTTGGTGGGCAGTGTCCCTGCCCTGGGGGTGATGGCTTTGGTTTCAGCAAAGCTGTGGAGCCGAGGGAATTAGGACTGGGCTGCGAGTGAGTGGCTCAGTGTTTGGGCTAGATCCATCTCTGCCTGTTGGATGGAGCCAAAGCTGCTCCAGCTTGGGTTTGTTTCCTGGAAGAAGGATTGTGGCAGGAGAGAAAAGCTTTCCCCCAGAGGAGCACAGCCCTGTGGGCACCTATCTCCCCTTCCCCAAGCATGAGTGTGCAGGAACAGTAGGAGCTGAGCATCTTCTGTGGCAGTAGCAATGGGTCCTCATCTTGCAGAGGTGATGGGAGGAAGGGGGACAATCCCACTGCTCAGGGGTTTGCACTGCCTTTGGGAGCAGCCCAGTGCCTCTCCACAGGCATCCCTATTTCTGTGCTGCATCACACAGACATGGCCATGCTCCTGTTCCCACCTGCCTCTAACCCCTCCAGCTGCTCTTCAGATCTCCTTCCCCTCCTCAGGAAGCTGCCCAAAGCAGAGCAATTCTGGGTCACCTGCTCCAGGGGCATGGCTGGTTTGGGAATTGCCTTTGCCATGGATTTGGGGGAACATCGCCATGTCCCCCCGCTCCCTCTGTGCCAGCAGGGCGCTGGGGGCCAGGCTTGTGTGCAGRAACACAATTAATTAGGTCGTTCCAGTAATTAATTCCTTACAAACCTTACACTGAAATGCTTGCTGTAACGAGATGCTGATGAAAAAATGGCATTGAGGTTGTGATTTTAAATGGACCCAGGGCCTGGAGGAACCTTTTGCTGCAGGCAGCTCTGTGGGGACAGAAGTGCTCTGGGTGGTGATGCTGATAGCTGTTCCCATGGGTGTCCTGTCCCTCCAGAGAGKGTTGGGTCCCTGCTCTGGGGCTGGATCCCAGCTCCTGGTATAGATCCCTGCCCTGTTAATGGTCTTTAGGGTAATTATGAAGGATCCCATTATCTCCTCGGCTACAGAGCGCTCGGCTGCCGCTCGCCTTCATCCTGGCCCTGCAAGAGGACCTTGGGGAGCTTGTGAGAAAAATGAATAATGAATTTCAGATTGGACATGAATTGGTAATTAATCACTCCTGGAATTAATTCCAGACAAAGGCAAAGGAGGAGGAGGTTGGGGGGAGCAGGAGGCAGGCAGGGAGACGGGCTGAGCCAGAGCTGGGTCAGGCAGATGTGGGGTGATGAGGGACAGAACGGGAGCGCAGCAGCTGCTATCCAGGGCAGGGACTTGGGGATATGATGGCCCCTGGGGACACAGGGGTGTGGGCAGCCCCTGCCAGGCATGAATGAGGCTGTGTGGGTGTCCCTGGGTGTCAGTGCTGGGTTTTCTGCTGGTGTGGAGGATTCTGCATGCTGGCTGAGCTGTGCCAGGGTGGGAGATCTCAGGTGAGTGCTGTAAGAGGCAGCATTTGGTGTCAGCATCCCTTGGTGGCACTGGCAGGAGTAGCAGGGACATGTGGCGAATGTGTCCGTGCTGGGCAGGCATGTGCAGGGCTGGGATTGGGGCGGGCAGGGGAGAGCTGTGTGCTCCAGCAGCAGGACATTCCCTCTGTGCCTCGGGAAGGGCCAGCCTTTTGCTCACCCTGTGCATCTGTGTCGGCATGAGGCTCGCTGCCAGCTCCTGGCCTTTCTCCTGATTAGCCTGCAAGCCCTGAGGCTTTAACAAACATTTTCCCTTTCAGAAAAGCTAATTATCCTGGCAGCCCGGTCATCACCCCTGGCTGGTGCTGCCGTGTCAGCCGGGAGAGCCCCTGACCCACTGCTCATTGCTGCCTGTGGATTTTTGGGAAATGTGGGGAGGGCAGGAGAAGCTGGGCTGCAGGTGGGATGGGGAGATGCTGCAGCTGCTTCAGGGGCTGTCCCTGGGCTGGGGCAGGTGTCCCCAAGGAGCTGGCTGGGCTGGGCTGATCCCAGTGTCTGGTTTGGCCAAGGGAGGCAAAGCTGCCACATCTCCATCGCGTTCCCTGCGGCACAGGTGTTATAGGGATGTGACCACCGTGCGTCCCTGGCACAGGAGTTGATCCCTTCAGCTCCCTGTCCCCTCCCCATTATGAGAGAGCACACTGCCAGCCCTTGGCATGTGTGTGGGGCAGGAMGGACCATCTGGCTGTGCTGGCTGTGCTCTCTGGCTCTCACAGCTCCTTCTCCGGGCAGGTGCTGATGGTCGCGGATGGAGACAGTGCTGGGTTCCTCTACCGCCAGTTGCCTTTCCTCGCATCCYTGGAGAGGAAGGATGGCAAAGCCACCGCCTACGTCTGCAGCAACTTCACCTGCTCCCTGCCTGTCACCTCGGTGCAGGAGCTGCGTGGGATGCTCAGCCCGTGAGCCCCTCGGTCCCACTGCCCACAGGAAGGCGAGAGTGGGACAGATCAGCACGGGAACACGGGAGAACCCCATAACAGAGCCACCCTGGGCACCATCCCAGATGGTTCCTGGCAGTGCACTGGAGCTGTGCCCTTCCCCACCTGCAGCAGGCTGGGGTCTGCTTGCCCTGCAGTGTGTCAGCACAGCTGCCTGTGGTCCTGGGTGCTGCTTTTGGCATGGTCAGGAGACACCCAGTGAGGAGCATCCCCTGGCCCAGCACACACGCTTGCTCCTCGCCTCTTCTTGCTGAGGAAAAGGAAAACAAATTAAATATAAATCCCAGTGTTAATGGAGAAGTCAGACAGGAAAACTATTAGGGTTCCTATAGCAACCCAGGGTAACACTGTCAAAAGCACCTGGATGGCTTGGGAGTCAAGTGCTCTTGAGAGTGTTACTGGCTATGACAGCTGCGGTATTTTTCCATTACAGAGGAGATTGTAACATACATTAAGTTAATATATAGTGCACGAAAAAAACCTGCTGATTGCAACTGATGAAAACTTTATTCTCCCTTTCCTCCCCTCCTTCTCTTTGCTGCTTCCAAATGGATGARCACCAGATTTTCAGCATCCCTCTCACACCCTGGGCTCCCCCAGCGCAGCACCCCACACCCTGGCTGGCTGGGTGCCATCATCTGGCAACAAAATGGCACTGCCCAGTGGCTTTCCAGCAGATTGTGCCAGGATTTGGGGGTAACCAGCCAGGAGAAATGCCTTTGAAGTCAAATTGGAATTTTGCACTTCATCTAAATGCTTTCTATGCTTGTGGAAAGAGGAGGGGTTTTGTTTTCTCTCCTCTCTTGGTTTTAAAAGCTGAAGTGTTTCTGGAAATCCAGCTGAAAATTGCTGGTTTGGCAGATTGCTGCCTGCTTTCCTCTGTTTTTTTTTTGCCTTTTTAAATTTTTTTTTTAACTTGGCATCTCAGCTGCAGGGATTGATTTGACACCCATCCTCAGGAGTGCTTGGGGCGAGTTGGTTTGTGCCTGCTGGGAGAGCATCCTYGGAGAGCGGGGCTGGTGCTGAGTGCCTGTGGGGAAGCCCACATGTCTCAGCTGTCCCTGAGGTGGCACAGGGCTGGGAGTGACATTCTGAGCCCATTTCGGTGCCCAGCAGCCCCCTGTGGCACAGACAGGGGGTGTCTCCTCCCACGCTGTKTTGCTTGGTGTGTCTCTGTGAGCAGCCCCTGGGCAGAGCTGTGCTGTGAACCTCTGTCAGGATGAATCGGGCTCACCTCTCAATAAAAAAAAAAACAAACAAAAAGGAATGAGGAGTTCTGTGTGGTGAATAACTGCTGTTGTGGCACCTGTGTTCTCCTGGTGTCCCTGGTTATCCATGGCCCTGTCCTGTCCTTCCCACACTGTGCCTGTCCCTGGAGCCACTGAGCTGCTTCAGCCCTTTGGGGTTACGCCCTCAGCAAGGGTTGATTTTGCTCAAGTTCTGCTGCAGCCCCCCTTGCTGGACCCCTCAGTACCCCCCGGCCAGGCTGGGGCACCCAGGGRTGCTGCTCCTCTTTGGTGACTGCAGTGGTCAAACCCTCCCAGTGGTGCATCCTGTCCTGTCCCTTTTCTGTCACCAACCCCCAGTTTCACAGAAAACGCTGTTTTGCTGTAAGGGTTGTTTTCTGGGGCAGTTACCAGGAGACAGRGCTGGTGGGTGCTGGTGGGTGCTGCCCAGGCTCTCGGGAGGGTGATGCAGTGGGATCTCTGAGCTCTGGGGTCCCTTGGCACTTCAGTGTTTGTTTCCCTGATCCCYTTCTGCATTCCCATATGGAGGATGTGGGGGCTGTTGGGGGTTTTCCCTGGGCAGTGTGGGATCCTCTTTTCCCACCAGTGACTCAGGGTGGCTGGAGGCAGCATCCTGCACTCCCCCTGCTCCTTCCCAGCTGCAGAGCTCTCAAAAAACTCTCAAAAACCACATCAAATAACTGATGTGCTGCTTTTCCCCCCACGAACATTGGGTTTGCCATCAGGCTGCTCCAGAGGGGGCACAGGGGGCTCCTTCCTGCCCGAGGCTCTGGGCTCACCTGGGAGCCCCAGCAGCCATGGATGGGGASAGAAAAACAGGTTCTCCCTTGACTCCTTTGTAATATGAACACCTCGTTTAACATTTAACACTCCGGGGGATGTGCAGGACACCCCATTGCTGAGCCCACCACAGCAGATGGGAGCCTGACACCCACCGTGTCCCTTTGGGGGGTCTGGGACACGYGGGGTGGGGGCGAGCAGCCACCCTTGCTGCTCTAATGAGGCTTTCCCTCTAATTAATATTCCCTGGAAAAGCCAGCGCTGGTTCTGGATGTCTCAGCTTTCATCTCCTGTGGCATTGATGTGACATCAATGGGAGACACGCTTTGAACGCCGTTTGTTGTGGGGGATGTCACATCTGCAGGAAAGGGGGGATGGAGATCCTGGGATCCAACCCTGCTCCAGTGTCAGTACCCCCATCCAAAACACACGTGAGGGTGCAGTTTGGGCGTGCCAACCTCTGAGAAGGTACATTTGGCAAAATAATGAGGTTTCTTCACYCTGGCACGTGTTTTATTCACACATGAGCACCCCATTGCCCCACGCTCGGGTGGCCAAGCAGTCAGCACCTGAGCAYTGCTCTGCTCATGCCTGAGTGCCTGATTAGCTCCTGCCTCAGGGTTATTTTGGGCATAAACAGGTTTTGCTGGCTGGGGGCTGCTGCAGGAGGAGGTTGGGAAGTGCTGCTCAGCGGCTGCTCTGATAGTGATGGAGAGGCTCCAGAATGCCCCAAAATATTAGGGGAGAGGCAGGTGCAGGGGGGCAGGGGATGTGGGGCTGGTGTGAGGAGTCCCTCCACGCCAATCCTGTGCCGCTGAGCCCAGTCACTCCAGTGTTCACCCAGAGGGAATGTGCAGCCAGCGAGCTGCCATGGTGAGCCCCGTGAGTCCCAGCCTCCTCTCCTGGGTAATTTGGGGTGCTTGCTGCAGTCCCCTTGCACCAGGAGGTGGGTGGGGTAGATGTTAGGGTGCATCAGCCCTCTTCTAGCATCCCATGGAGCATCTGCAGGCAGTGGAGGGGGCTGGGGGGCTCAGCAGCTCCTGCTGCCCCTCCCTGCCCCAGCCTTTGCCTTGCACAGATGTTCTCGCCATCCAGCTCCGAGTAATTCCAATATTCCTGACAAGTGAATTTGCAGCTGAGGCTGGCTGACACTTGCTCAAAAATCTGCTTTTTTTTTTTTTTCTTTTTTAAACTGATTTTCCATGCAGATGGATGCCAGGGAGCGAGGGGACACAGCCAGGCTGTGGTGTGGGGGTGTCCTGCTTAGCTCAGCTGCTGCCTTAGTTTCCCTCCCACCAAAGCATGTCCTGGCTGTTCCTGCCCAAACCCTCCCCACCCCTGCGTGGCCCTGGAGCGTGTGCCCTGCCTGGCCTCTCCCAGAGCCCCTGTGTGCTCCAGAGCTGTGCAGGGGAGCTCACAGCTCTCCCAGGCTGTGCTGGCCATGACATTTTGGGGACCACCATCCCCACACGATGCTCAGCTGCCCCGAACCAGCTCTGCACCCAGGGGCTGATGTTTAGARCCAGTTTAACACTTGGAGGTCTCTCATTCCTGCCTGGCAGCTGCAGCAATGCAGAAATCCATTTCTCAAGGGCCTGCCAGCCTTGGCCACAGCTGGGGAGGCAGGAGGGACGAGGGACAGGGAGGGATGGCCGGAGGCCCCGTGGCACAGCAGGAGGCCATCGGCACCGATTAAGGGTTATGCAATGGACACTTGGCCATTACACGGCCATTAATCCTCCTTTAATGTAGTTTTGGTATTTACTGACTGCGGTAACTGTTGCATTAAATCGAAATTAAATGTTTATTTTGGAGGCTTCACAGAAGGGTGGAGGAGGATGTCTGAGGAGGAAGGTGCAGGTTTGTGGGTGCCTGGGTGGGAGGGGGATTTTGGGGGCGTTCAGAGGAATCAGGAGTGCAGTGGAGGGATTCTTGTCATCAGCGTGGGGATGTCCCCAGGTGCTGTGCCAGGCTGTCAGTCCAGGTGAGGTGACAGTGGCATCTCCAGTGCCATCAGCACTTCGTGAGCTGCTGAATTAAAAGCAAGAGATGCTGAGGGCTCCCAGGGAGCCTGGAATGCTCATCAAGGGGGAGCAGGCTCTGCTTTCCATCTGGGCTTTATCCAAAGCTTCTGGAGGGCTGGGGCTGCTCCTCTACCCATGGCCGGGTGGAATTTGGAGTTAACTCCTTGTGTGCTGCAGYCTGGCAGGAGCAGGTGATGCCTTGTGGGGCTAACCTAAAACAGACTGGACGAAATTGAGAGAATCCAAAGCAGTTCTGTTCATGACAGAGCCTTCAGGGCCATCCAGGGCAGTCCCAGCCCAGCCAGGGGCTGCACCCACAATGGACAATGGCTCACGGSTTTTTCACCCTTTCTCACTTTTGTCCATTTGCACATCGGGATTTGCTGAATCCTCCAATTGCAGCTGCAGCCAATGCAGTCAAAAACTACAACTTGGCTCCCCCAATTCTCTGTTGTTTCCATCTCTTGGGGYCTGGCMYRGGGAGGTGTCCTTGAGTTTGGGGCTGCAGAGGAATTGTTTTGTGTGAAAATGGGAGAGCAGGAGCTCAGCACTGTCTGTGGAGTCTGGAGTTAAACACTGAAGAATTGTAGGATTGCAGATATATGGAAATATAGAAGCTGAAATCCTAAGGCTTCACAGGTAGCAAATTTTCATGGTATCAGCCGAGGCTGAAACCCACATCAGGAATGCTGAAGCTTGGGGCAGGGAGGTAATGCTCAGGTTTTGGGGCCAAATCTCCTGCTGCATTAGCAGCTCCCAGCTATAGGAGCCAGTTTTTGGCAGCAGCATGGATGTCCTAAGGCAACTTCCCTGGTGCTTCTGGGCTGATGCTTGCTGGCTTGTTTGGGGTTTTTTAGCCACAGAGGAGAAACCTGAGTGTCCCTGTGTGACCCAGCACTCTCCTCCCCGTCCCTGACACCCATGAATCTGGGACAGGCAGAGCCGGGCTCGCTGCAATTATCCATGGATTAACGGCAGCTAATTT